CAAAGACAAGCATTGACTTGGTGAATCTACCAAACCATGCTCGTGGCGATTATTTTAGTCCATACAATGACTTCTTCAACTTGCATACATTTTTGCTATGTGTATTTGGGATCCCACATCCTTTTGGTAGCTTCATATAAACTTCTTCAGACAATTCCCCATGTAAGAAAGCCTTTTTTACGTCAAATTGTTGTAAGGACCAATCAAGGGTTACAACTAGAGATAACAATACTCGAACTGTACTAATTTTGGCTATGGGAGCAAACATTTCAGTGTAATTTATTTCATATGCTTGTGTGTAGCCCTTTGCCACTAATCTAGCTTTAGATTTCTCAATTATGTCATCTGCATTAAATTTCACAGTATACACCCGTTGTCATCCTACTGGTTTCTTTCCAACTGGAAAATCTACTAATTCTCATGTTTTATTTCTTTACAAGGATCACATCTCCTCATTCATAACATCCTTCCACCTGGAGTCAGCTAAAGCTTCCTGCAAACTATTAGGAATAGATACAGTAAATAATTGACTTATAAATGCGATATTTGAGTTAGACAAATTCTGGCTATAAACATAATTACTCATAGGGTATCTTGTCTTACTGGTGAGGTCGGGATCATAAGTAGGCTTAGGGATACTTCTAGTGACACGATCTGGCAAAATTATTTTTTCTGTATTAGGTTCTTGAAGGGATGATTGGTGTGGTATATCATCAGCATCACCAGGAAAATTTTTGATCTCGACATGCTCAAAATCTTCCTCATTATGTGGTTGTTGATCATAACATTGTTGCATACTTTCATCATCTCCTGATACAACTTTGTAACTTTCTTTCTTTAATCTGACCTTAATATCAATTTCTTGAGGAACAAAAGTCTGAACTTCATCATAATTCTCCCCCTGAATTTCAGACTCGGGGGAAAAATATATCAAGGTTTCATGAAAAACTACATCTATAGTAGTAAACATTTGCTTGGTTTGTGGATTGTAGCACCGATATCCTTTCTGGTGATCTGCATAGACAAGGAACACACACCTTTTAGTTCTAGGAGATAACTTACTTCTCTTATGCTTGTGTAAGTGAACATAAACAACACAACCAAAAAATCTATGTGTTAGTTCAACAATTTTAGGACTTACTACTGCATCTGTAAGTGATTGAAGATGTGTTTTATACTCAATAGACCTGGACGATGTTCGGTTGATAGTGTATACTGCATATGTGAGAGCTTCTCCCCAATATATTGCTGACATGTGAGCTCCAATCAATGCAGCTCAGACCACCTCCAATAGATAACAATTCTTTTGTTCTGCCATCCCATTCTGTTGTGGAGTATTTGGACAAGATCTCTGATGAACAATTCCTTTGGCTACTAAAAAATGTTGAAGTTCTGATTGCATATATTCTCCTCCGTTGTCACTGTACAGTACCTGAACTTGTGTTTTATACTGGGTCTCAATCATTTTGCAGAATTTCTGAAATAGTCCTCCAACTTCACTTTTAGACTTCATCAAGCATAACCAAGTTATTCAATTACAATCATCAATAAACATTACAAACCACGTTGAGCCACCCAACGTTGTAACCTTAGATGGACCTCATACATAAGAGTGAATGATCATAAAAGGAAGAGAAATTTTATTTGAAATTAAAGGAAAATATGTTTTATGACTCTTTGCAAACTCACAAATATCACAATAAAAAGTTGAAGTGTCTACTTGGTCAAATATATTTGGAAATAATTTTTTTATGTAACCAAAAGATGCATGTACTAGACGCTTATGTCATAACTAAATATCTTCTTCTTTTCTTACTTCTTGAGACCCTTTTGTTGCTAGCACTTGATCAAGTCTCTTTGAATCTTTTTCTGTTAGGTCCAGGTAATACAACCTTCCTCGCCTAATACCACAACAAATCGTCTTCCTCGTTTGAATGTCATTAAAAACACAAAAGTCAGGCCCAAAAATTACAACACATAAAAGAGCTTTGGTTATTTGCGAGACTGCCAATAGGTTATATTTAAGAGAAGGAACAACAATGACAGTATCAAGATTCAAATTGTTCGAAATAGAGACAATTCCTTCTCCAATAATAGTGGATTTACTACCATTGACTATGGAAATACTTTTTTGTGAGGAAGGTTTAAGATTTTTAATCTGTCTAACATCAAAAGTCATATTATTAGAACATGCAGAGTCAATTATCCATGCATTATTCAGAACGGTAGATGTGATTATTAAAGCCTTACCATTGGAATCATCACTACCTACGATTGTAGCAAACATCATGCCTTTGTCGTCCTCTTTGTCAATGAGAGTTACAACAATAGTAGTTGGATTTCTTATTGAATTCTTCTTCGATGCTCGACTGTGATCCCACCACTCGGGGTATCCTATGATTTCATAACATCGTTCCTTAGTATGTCCATCCTTATTACACTGAGTACACTTGTAGTTACCTTTTTCAAAATCTTTTGATTGCTTCGATTTGTTGTGATGATTTGATGACTGCTTCTTTATCATCATAACTGTGGAATCAGAAATCATATCTTTTATTTTCAACGTTGTTCGCCGGACTATCTCTCTCCAGATTAATGCATATCATTCTTCTAAATCAGGTGTCACTTCCTTGCACAAGATTTCTCCACGAACTTGCTCAAAATCATCATCCAGTCCAACATGGAATATATGTACCCTTAATCTTTCAATGGACTTCTGATATGACTTCACATCATCAGGGTCCTTCATGACTACTTTGTTACGATGGTCCAATTCTCTAAAAATCTCAACCAACTCCCCATAATATTCAGTTAAGGTTCTATTATTTTGTTTTGCAGTGAATGCTCTTTGATTTAGAGCAAACACTTGTAGCTCATCACTTCCATCATAAAATGTCTTTGATAAAACATTCCAAATATCGAGGGCAGTGGGTAAGCGAATATACCTTTTCATGATTTCTGACTTCATGGACATCAAAATCCATCTTTTCACTTTTTGGTTTTCAGCATACCATTTTTCATATCCCTCATCGTTCTCTGTTGGAGGCTTCACCTTCCCACAAATGTAGGACAAATTTTTCCCTCTCTGCAATGTGCATCTCCATTAGTTGTGACCATACGTCATAATTGGATTCATTTAGGATAATGCCTACGTTGAATACACTTCAGATTGAACAACCATTAGAATTAGTTTTTCTGTCATCTCTCCAGTTAAGATCTCCAAGGATTTAGAAAGAAAAAGAAAAAAATTATAAGCTCTAGTACCAAATTGAAAAACATAGAATTCATTATATAATTTTTATTCATATATATTTTTTTACACATATACTATGATCTTATAGTATTTTACTCTAACAAATCAGGACTAAATAAAGGAAGTTCTGATTATACAATATTTTGTACCGCTATACAAACATATAATTTAGTTAATCAAATATCTTTATCCCAACAAAATCACCATCATTATCCAATCATAATCAGAGAATAATTGTAAAAAAATTTACAATATATAAATAACTTTTTCATTTCCTTCCATACTAAATACACCCACATTCTTAAAAGTAAGAATTTAAAATAAACCTCACAATACTATGTTATAAGAGTATAAAAAAAGATAAATATAAATTTGAATTATCTTTGATTGGAGTGAGAAATATCATAGACTTTAAGTCAATTGTATAGTTACTATCATTCACTCCATTACTTATCCAATATGATGTGAAACTTTTCAAGATGTATTATTTTCATCAACCCAACATGATGTAATTATTTTTGCTAAAAAAATTATAAAACATAATATAAACGATGTCGATTTGAAGGGAGGGAGACACTTCTAATAGGGAATTCAAACTCTATTGAGTGTTAAAAAAATGAAAGTTCCACATATTTGAGTTAATATAACTAAAATAATTTTAATATTGATTATTTCTTCTCTAATAAAATATTTTGTATAATTAAGTATATTTATTATGCATTATAATTATAATATGTAAGTAAAGATATTGATAGGAAGAATATTTTTTGTTAAATATAATAAATGGAATGAATTTGAAAAATCTAAATAGATAAATAAGTTTCATGAGTTCATAATCTTGGATATAATAGAAACAAACGAGTTTGATTTGAGTGTGAAGTTTGTGATTTACTAAGTTTGTGTTTAGATTTGCTAAGTTGGTGTTGGGATGAGACATTGTTATGAAACATTATATCAATTTTTATTAAACCCTAAATCATAAACATTATATCAATCTTTAAGAATATCTTTAACTTTTCTTATGTGTTATAATTGTTTTTTTATACACATTAATGAGAGGTTTCACAAATGATGATTTTGACAAATAATGGGTCGTCCAGGGTTTTCACCTTAAAAGTCATGCTCGAAGTTAGGTAAATGTATGGAATTTGAGTTTTAAGTATTTTATCATGTCATTCAATTTTCAACTTTTTTCTTCTTCAGCTTCCTTCTTTAAGTGCTTTCACGTCTCTTACGTACGCTTTTGATTTTCAATCCTTGATATCATGTCTTCTATTTTTGGTTCTCAGATAATTTTAGTGGTTTTACCTTCACTTGACCATTGGTGGGTGAACACAAAATTCCTCCCATTGGCCATGAATCTATTGGAGAAAAGTGTTCTTCAAATTCCTTTTCTATGGAGAAAAGTGTTCTTCAAATTCCTTTTCTATGGAGAAAAGAGTTTCTCCTCTCGTCGCGATGGTGGCTACCACTGTTGTGATGACAACTAAAAAAATCCCAAAAATAGCAATTAGTATTAGAATTCAAATGTGAGTTGAAGTCTTACATTGAGGAAAAATAATGAAGTTGAATAAAATATAAGCGGGAAAAACTCACAAATCTATTGCCTTAAGATTTTATATTAAAGATGGTGTCATATTCTCTTATATATTTAACTTGTTTCCCTTGGTTAAACTAGTAGCGGTGTTAACCTAATTTAAAAAAAAATGCTAACAATGGTATCAAAGTTTTTTATTAGTCTAGTGACTGGTTCAGTCAAGTACAAAGTGAGAGTCATGGCTTCTTGTGCCCTCTTGAGATGAATGACAAAATTAGTAAAGGTTCCCATTAAAGATATGTATCCCTAGTAAGGGTTATCATTGAAGGTACTCATGGTTCATAAATGTTTTATTAAGGGAGAGTGTTCCTATATAAGAACTTGAGGGGGAGTGTTATAATTTCAGTGTGAGTTGAAGTCTTATATTGGGTAAAAATAATGAAGTTGAATAACATATAAGTGGGAAAGACCCACATATTTATTGCCTTAAGGTTTTTAGATTGAATGTGGTGTTATATTCTCTTATATGTTTAACTTGCCTCCCTTGGTTAAACCTAATAGCGATGTTAACCCCCTTTAAAAAAAATGCTAACAATTATGGTAGGTTCCCTCCTATTTCTGATCCCGAGTATAGCTAGTACTCAAAGAGGTATACTATTATTCTTTTTTCTTTATTACCTTATCCTTGATGGAGGATATTTGTAAAACTTACGATATTTGTTTCAATTCCGATTCTAGATTTGTATTAATTGGAGCCTATTCTTCTATAGACCGTGTTTATATGAAACCTAATTTAAATTTTGAGGACTTCACTTTTTTATATGAATTTTTATTTAAGAATTTAAATATTATTATACTATTTATTGATTTTGAGTGATATGTTATCCACTCTATGTGTCACTCCTAGCCAGCTTAATTCAAATAACTATTTTTTTAAGGTTTTCAAATTTTGTATAACATCCTTAATTTGACTCCTACTATAAACAAATTTATGTACTTTTACCAATTGAAACATGATCAAGAGGGCGACTAAGTGTCTTTAAACGAATCCTAACATGGTTTATTTATTGCCTATTCATCTTCTTTTAAAAATTTTACAATCACTATTTCAAAATAAAATGTGCTTGAAATTACCCATCTCAAAGGCTTTTCTAAATCCTGATCACACTCCCCAATTCCTTTTACACTGGTGGGTATCCCACAAGTTCAAATCTAGAGATGAGTATTTATTATCTTTTGAGCACAAAATGGATATAAAATTTCTTTTAAGTCTTCCATGTCTAAGAAATTGTCACAATCTATTATTTTTTTCCTTTTGCCAAGGACCTAAGAGCCTTGGTTCTTTAGGTAAGACATTTTTTATTTGAATCTTGAAAACTTAATTTTTCTTTTTTGTTGGCTAGCTGGCTAAATTTTTCCTTTTGTAGAGATTATGAGACCAAAATTTAACTACAAGAAGACTGATGCTAAGCTTGGTGGGGGTGTTACTATTGAGAGGGGTGACCAAGCTCCAAAAAGAAGAAAGTTGATCAATTATACCCCTCCAGGCTTCAACAAACCAAGAACAACACCATCTACAACAACAACAATTGCCTGAGTTAATCACTAAAATCTCCACCTCGACCTCGTCTCCTCCACCATCTCTTGTGCCTAGATTCCACATGAAGCAACTCCTCACCCTTTCACTTATGTGCCTTGTGGTATAAAGGGATGTGGAAAAACATTTGAACCACTCATGTGAGGCTTGTCTTAAGCCATATAAGGATCTATTCAATTTGCACACAATGTTACTTTTATCCTGATGTTTTAAATTGTAACCCTGAGGTTTTTTCATATAAACCTCTTCATCTATATATCCATTCAAAAACGTATTTTATACATCTAGTTGTATAAAAATCCACTACTTAATGGTTGCAAGGGATAAAAAAAAATTCTAACAGTAGTGATGGTAACAACTAAGGAAAGAGTGTTAAGAAAATCTATACCTGCTTCTTGTGTAAATCCACGAGCAACAAGTCTATCTTTTCTTTTGGCTAAAGAACCATTAACATTGTATTTTGCTTTATAAATCACTTACAACTTATAGCCTTTTTTGTCATATCCCATGTGTTATTGATATCCCGGGCTTCTACCTCTTTGTCCAGTTTCTTTTCATTTAGGGAATTTAACAGCATGATGATAATAAGTGGGATCGTAAATGCTGCTGACTTGCATAATTTTTATTTTTTTTTATCAAGCATATAGCTTATCATAGGAAAGAAAATGGTATATGGAGTTTGAAGATTGTAGATTGGGAATAGAAACTTGATATTCATTTATATATGATGGAAGGATGATTTGTTGTGAGGATCTTCTTGTAGTATGAGGTGGTAAGATAGGATGTTGAATATTGTCATTAGGCTCAGTCCCACCACTAGATTGAGGAAGATTATCTTGTTCTATATTTGGAATAGGATTAATGGATCTCAGTGGTTTGCTGTAGGCGTAGGAACAACAATATCATGAAAAACAAATCTTGATATTTATTACGTTCAAATGTAAATATGGTTTGTTGAAGAGTAAAAGGCATAATTTCTTCATGGAAAATAACATAAAGAACCAATGAACACAGTGGGTTCAACTCTGGGTCTGAATTCTTCTCTTTCATTTTTTTGAATATTAGCAAATATAAAGAACCAAAATTTTTGAAATGATTATGATATGGTTTAGTTTGATAAAGCATTTAATAAGGGCTTTTCTTGTGTAAAGTAAAGGTAGGAATCCTATTTATGATGTAAGTAAGAGTCAAAATACAATCTCCCCAAAAAACTATAAGCACTTTGGACTGAAACAACAAAGATCAAGTCACATTTAAAAGGTGTTGATGTTTCCTTTCAACAATAGAATTTATTCAGGAGTATAAGGACATGAAAATGGATGCAATGTACGTTCAAAAGCTAAAAAATCAGAAAGCAAAAGTTCCTAAGCATTATCACTTGGTAAACATTTTATAGATTTACCAAATTGAGTTTTAACAAGTTTGAAAAAAAATTTATATGCAATCGGATGCTTGATTTTCAAATTTTAATAAAAAAATCCATGTGAATATATTGTGATCATCAATTAAGGTGAGAAATAATTTTTTATTGTTATAAGTGACAATATGAAAAGGTCCCCAAATGTCACAAGTATATCAAATCAAAACAATTCGCATAGAAGTGATTATTACTATTAAAAGGAAGGAGTTTTTGTTTAGCTAAAGGACATATACAAAAAATTACTAGATAAATTCATATTGATTTTACCATGAATCATCCTAAGAATATCATCAGAAAAATGACCTAACTTGTAGTGTCATTTGTTTACATCAACTTTTTTGTAGGATTATTATTAAAAGTGGAAACAATATTATTAAAAGAATACAAGAAATAACTAAAAAATGTATTGTTTGTATTGTGAAGAATATAAAGGCCATCTAGGATGCTACCTTTGCTAATCACCCTCAAATTCTGTATGGCAAAAGAAGAGTGATAAAAAATAACTTTGTGATTATGAAATTGAGTTAGAGAACTTATAGATATAAGATTGACTTCAAAGTCTGGTATAAACAAGAATTTTTGTAAAATGACACAATTATTCAATTTAACAGTGCTAATGACTTTAATAGCAACAACATTTCCAATGGGGTGATAGATGTATTGATTGTTTAAATTGTTATAACAAACATAATTATGCAAAGAACATGTAATATGTATAGTAGCTCCTAAGTCTATTATCCAAACGAAGGAACTTCCTTTATTTGGATAAGTATTGAAGGCCAAGTTCTTAAAAAAAAGAAAAACTGAATGTACCATTTTTAGGGGGTTTGAAATATTGGACTCTTTTGATGCTCCAATAGGTGCTACCTGATTTTGAAGATGTAAAAGTTGATCGTATTGGGTTTTGGTCAACTGCACTAGACTTTCTCCTACATTAGAATTAGTGACTTGATTGATTAACAGTAGAGTTGGATTTCTTGTAACAAGCAGGGTACCCATGCTTCTTATAGCATTTGTTTTCAGTATGACCAAGCATTTCGCAGTAACTATATTTTGGTCTTTCTTTCTTGGGAAGACCATATTATTGTGTTTTGGAGTTGGATTGAGGAACAACAAAGGTAATGGATGATGGTTGTTATTGCAGAGGAATGTCAACTTCTTGTCTTTTTTCTTCTTGAACTACAAGAGAATAAACATAACTAATAAAAGGAATGGAATCCAAGAGCAAAATTTGACCACTAATTTGAGAATAGTTTTTATTGAGACCCATTAAAAAGGACATCATATGTTGAGAATGAAGATACTCAATCAAAGACTTGACGTTCCTACAAGTGCAGGAATGAGATGGTTGAAAGTCACTAAATTCTTCCCAAATACTCTTTATCATAACAAAATGTTGACTTACAGACATATATCATTGGTGACAAGAGAAAAAAATAACTTTCTTCAATTGGAAATTTTGAGGTTCATTGTGTTGTCGATATCGAGAATTTAAATCCTCCCATAAAATGGTGACAGTAGAAAAGTAAATGACACTCATAATGATATTTTTGGTAACAAAATTAAGAAATCAAGATCTTACGATGTTGTTATTTCTTTTTCAAAAAGAAAGTTTTGTGGGATTAGTGGGTTTAGAAAGAGATCCATCAACGAAGTCTATCTTGTTCTTAGATTTAAGGACAATTGTAATTATACGTCTCCAAGATCTACAATTGTCACCAATTAAAGGGTAGACACAAGATTTTGATTGGAATAATTTACATGATGAATGAAGAAAAAGTCATGGAATTTATCGGAGTTGAAGAAAAAAATTTAAATTTATAACAATCTAACGGAAAGAAATACAAAACTAATACATGTTAAAGTTAAGAAAACAGAACAAAAATAATTAAAAAAAAAACTTATTACACCCTAAAAAAACGTGAAATACACTAATATATCAAATCAGATAAAAACAAAAAAACAAAAATCAAAGTATAACAAAAAAAAAAACTAAGATATATCCTAACACATATTATTAAATTATAATAGTCATAATGTTATATACTATTGTAATATCGACAAATATTAAGAATTATACTGTATTTGTCCTGAGACATAATAGCAAAATATCAAATTTTTAATTATTTTAATATCCAAAGTTAATAAATAGTACTACTCTTATGTATCGTCGTGATCATTCGCGTGAGATTGAACTATGCATGCTGCGGTGAGGAATGGGACCCATCGGGTTAGGTCCAAAAATGTTAAAAAAATTTAATTATAGGTGAAAATGAATTTGGATCACTTAATTCACATGTTAAATGGATTTATGCAGAGTTGGCGCTGGTTAACTCGTTTTTTTTTTCTAATATTTTAATAATTTAATTTTCTTATCCACACACGTAAGTGTGAATTTATAATTTTTTTAGTAAGTTTACCTAAAATCAACCTACTTAATCTAAATATTTTAATAATTTAAAATAATAAATAATTAATTAAAAATAAAATATATATTTAAATGAATGAACAAATAGTAAATTATGTCAGGTTATAAAACTTTTTATTTATAAAAAAATAAGTTAAATTAAATTAACCGATTTTTAACATAATCCCTAATGAACATATATTTTGTTAGTTGATTATTTTTTACACTCTTCCTGTAAAATTGATTTTAGTTCATACAAGACAAGTCTTTTTTTTTTTTTTTTAAGAAAAAAAAACTGAGATTAAGGGAAAAAAATAACACATTTCTGACGTAATTTTGACAAAGATTTATACTGAAATTAATTATAGGAACACTGTAAATGCGGAAATTGAACTCTATTCGCAGTTAAAACTAATAATGGGAAAACCAAAAGTAATTAGTCTATATTTACAGAAATTTTTTATTTGTGTAGAATATATAATAACTATCGAATACAATTTTATTCTAATATTAAAAATCTTTAATAATTTAAAAATATATAACATATTTCAATTAAATTAATCAAAGTTACTTTTGAAAAAAAAATGATTGAGAATTTGTAGCTAGCATTGATAGAGTGTTTTTTCTTTATTAATATAAACTGATGTTATTTTTAATTAATGTTAATTATAATTATATATAGATTATGGTTATTTTTCAAAATATTTTGTTGAAGGTTTTCTTTTTCAATATTTTGATGTTGAAAATTTCAACCAATATTTTAAAAAAATAATTTTTGTCTCAAAAAATTTCTTAATCAACATTAATAAAAAAAATCCTAATTAACTTTGAAAAATAATAATAATATTATAATATTGATAAGAAATTAATCCCAAGATAGATTTCAATCAAAAATTATAATTGACAAAGCATCCAAGGGAATATATATAATATATATATATATAATAATAATAATAATAATAATTTAAAAAAATAAGTAAAAATTATTTTATAAATATCAAAATATTTAAATTTTTTTATTTATAACAAATATCATATTTATTTTTTTACGTAAATTTTCACTTTATTTATTTTTTTTAAATCTTTGTCTTTCTTTTTTCATTTTTTTTCCTATTTTTTATTATAGTTTTCTTTTTATTTTATTACTCATTCACCTCGTATCTTTTTTTTTTCACAGTTTACACTAAATAAAAATTATAATTTTTTCTCTTTAATTTTTAAATCTTTTTTTTATAATTTCATCTTTAAAAAATAAAAATTATATTTTTTTATTACTTAGTTTTTATTTTTTGTCTTCTGTTTAAAAAGATACAAGTTAAAAAATAAAAAAAATATCTCTTAATATTTTTTAAAATAAAAAATAATAAAAAACATTGTTTTATTATTATAAAAATTAGTGTAATATAAAATATGAAATATTAATATAAATATTTTTATTTATTATAAATTAGTTAATTATTTTAATATTTTATAATATTTTGTTTTAATGTTAAAATATGAAAAAAAATCAGTTTAAATTTAAAAAATATCCAAAAATAAAATTATAAACTATTTAAAAAGATTAGATGAAATAATTTTTATTTTATAAAATTTAAACTTAATTAATAATATTAATTATATAAAATATATTTTATATAATAATTAATTTTTATAAGATGATTTTCTCGTCTAAAATTCCTAATTCGCCTGACATAAAAAAAAACTCCTACTACAAATAGTTATTATAAATATTTACATGTCGTTTTGATTTAATCTTTTTTATAACAACTTTTGATAAAAAAATTCTTTTATTTTTTATTTAAAAAAATAAATCTGATAATAAAAATTCAAATTTTCTTAAGAATAAATTATTCAATATTTTCTTTTTATCCCATTACATTATTAAAATCATCGTGTTTGTTTACAACAATTGACAAATGAAAGAGTAGGTTGCATTTGACAAATGAAAAGTTAGGTTGTACATTGAACAAGAATTTTCCATGCATTGTGAATAGTAGCAGAACGTTTACCATCTTTTTCAGCTTAAAAGTATGTTGGTCCGTGAGCATTCGGTGAACTTTGCTACAACGCACTAATTATTTAATAACTGAAATTACTGGGAAAAGGTTGTGAATGTCACAGTGTGTATATCTATGTTGTCCAGTTTTTTTTGTGTGTGCTCTTATTATTTCATTTATTCTATTAAAGTTAGAAACATGTAAATATCAAAATTGTGAACATGCAATCAAATCAAAGGATGTATTTGTACAACAATTGATTAATCAAGGGATATTCATAAAATTTTTAAACAATTGTAATGAAGTTTTATGGTAATCAACACCTTTCAATAATATAATATAATATAATATATATTCTTTTTAGTATTTAATAAATATTATTTTAATTTTTTAAAAGGGTGTCAAAATTTTATGATGTTAGAGGTTTTTTATTACCATTTATAAAAAATTTATCAATTTTGTAAAATATATGTATACAAATTTGATGGATTATTTTCAGGAGTAAGATCTCTAGTAACACACTCGTCTAACAATTTCACTCAAATTCTTCAAAACTTTTTAGATTGATCTCTCTTTTATTACACAGTTTTATTTTATTTTTTAAAAAATACGGGTAGAAAAAACATTATTCAATCTGCTTTACCATCAGGTAAAAGATTTTTTTCATTATTTTGTTTCCTCAAATCAACTTTGTTTTGATTGTGTTCGTATATGCTTTATTTTATCCAGAAAAAGAAATTTATATAGTGAATGAAAGTGGAAAATTATTTATTAATCACACACAGAACTTAATATTTGTTTTGGAAGACTCATGATTTTCCCATAATTTAGATTCTTTTAATTTACTAAAACATTTTTTACAAACTATCATGATAGGAAATCACATGTTCTCATTTCTAAGAAATAATATAAATAACAACATTATTAATTCTATCAAAAAATAAAAAATATTTTTAAATAACTAAAATAATAATAATTATTATACTAAGTTATGTAAGTAACAATATTAATAAAATGGACGAAAAGAAACTAATATAATTTATATAAGATTAGTTTCTATAAAGAAATAAAATATATTTTTAAATAACTAAATAAAATAATTTTCCTAAATTGTAGGATTGAAAATCACATTTAATTTATTAATATATCAATAATTTAAGTAATAAATTCACAACCATAAAAAGAATAAATTATTTTAGATTTATTTTAATGTATTAAAATTTCATTATTTCTTTATATTTTCAATTGGCTCGTATAAATTTTCTACAAGTTAGCAAGTCCATTCAAATTTTATAAAATTATAATTTCCATAATATAAATTTATTATAATTCAAACTATAAAAATATTGATTATAAAATTATTTCAAAATTTTTTTTACTAGTTGTTACAATTTTATTTAATCAATTAAAATTACAATTCAATAAAAGTCCTTAAATTTAGAGATATTAAATAATAAATATTTTAAATTTCAACAAGTAAAAAAAATAAATTTGGCGATAGTGATGTAATATAGAGACACAAGAGTGGGTAAGATGCATTCAAACTAATTACCTAACCCAAACAAATCATAGACAAATACGACAATATTTATATATCTTACCCTTACCTAGGGAATAGTCCTCCATCTATAGACTGTAGGACTTGTGTACGGATTCTTCGGTGTGTGTATACAAATTAGGAATAAAATAAATTATCTTTATTTTATAATCATTTGAAAAAAAAAATTTATACTTGATTAGGTTAAGTAAGAAGTAAACTTTATTTGAATTGATGAAAAATATATGAAAGTATTTGTGTTAACTAGGTTAAATAGGATTCCAATAAAAGTAAAATATACAGTAACTTATAAATATTTAATAGCTAAAGTTTATCCAATTGAATTTTATTTTTTAGGTTTTAAATATAACTTTCAATAGTTATTTTTAAAATAATTTTTAAAAAATTATTTTATAACTTTAATTTAAAATTTATTTTAAACGGAAAATGTATAGTGACGAGGAAAAATATTATAATGAAAATTGGAAAATTGATTCTAATAATTTCGTAATAACCAAATAAACAAAAATAGTTTAATTATTAGTAAATAGGCTAATATTATTAATAAAAATATTTAATATTTAAAAATTATTTTAATAAAATAATTATCAAACAAATTTTTTATTTCTTAAAAATAAATAAAAAATGTTTTTAAAATTTGTTTTACAAAAATTGTCGAACGTTTTTAAAAACAAAAAAAAATTATTTCTAAAAATACTAAACATTCGATTGATATGTTTTTAAAAATAATAAATATTCCTTTAATATTTTTAGGAAGTGTTTGATAGAATAATTTATTTTTTCATATAAGGAAATCATGGATTTGGTAAATTAGGATTTTTAGAAGACTAAAATCTGTTTTGTGGGTGAAAAACATTGATATCTGAATATTTATGTATGTTACTACATTATTTATTTTTTAAATAGAAAAATATTGTTTTAAGAGGAAATGTATTATTATTATTATTATTTTACCAAAACATTGAATTCGTTACTACATTAAAATATTTAATAAAACTAATAGTATTTTTTAGAAAAAGTTGATTTTTTACCTTTTCACATAGATATTTTTATGAAAAACTTGTTTAAAGATAATTTCTAGGAAACCTTGTTTTCTAATAATGTTCTTTTTTTCTAAATATAAATTGAATATGGAAAGAAAATTTTCTTAACTTCTTATATTTTGGAAATTATAAAATTATTTTCTATCAAATGTCACTCAGTTTAACATTTTTAAATAAAAAATAAAATTGATATTCATTCTTTTATTAACACTTTCATAATTTCTTTTTCTGAGATTATGCTAATATTACGCACATTAATACATTTTGAATTTAAATAATGAAATATAAAAAAATGTTATTAAAATAATATTTTAATTATACTTTTGACGACCAAACAGTTTTATTTTTTAATAAATTCTCCCGGAGAAGTAGTTTTTCCCCCTCATAACAGTATGGGCCTATCTATAACAGCCGAGACGGTTTCGTGCTGCATCCCTACTTTCTTCTTTTGCACCCCATATTCATTATACATAAGTAAATAGGTTTCAAGAGAACTTATTTATAAATAGTTTAGATTGACGTTTCCTAAAGCTTTCCATAGAGATTTTGGAATTATATTTTAGATATATATTCCAGAAAATTGATTTTAAAACTTCTTTTTTAAAATTTTTTAGAAAAGTCAATCTAAAATATTTTCACATAACTTATTCTATAAGGTACAATTTAAAAATGAGTTTTAGATTATATTTATAGAAATATATTTTAGATTCAATAATCTAAAAAATATATTTTTTTAAAATGGAATGAATTTCAAATTATTGAATTCAGCATAATTTGAAATGAGTTCCGAATTATTATATAAATCTTATTGTCAATTCTAAGTGTGCAAATACTTATATTAATATTTAACATGTTCAAATGAGACATTTGTCTAACCAACTCCTTGATATTTTAAAACAACATTTTCGATACATATCTAGCAATAAACTTTTATTTGTAATACTTGTCATTAGGCTAAATAAAAGAAGTTGTCTTTCCCCACTAACCGATCTCATGCTTAGAAGCCTTTTGATCTCATTCATGTTTACATATGAGGATCCTATTTGACCACTTTGGTACTTGGTGATAGGTATTTTTTAATTATTGTTGATGATAACTTTTACTATGCATGGATATTCAATATGAAACTCAAATATGAAACTTGTGAGTACCTTAAAATTTTCAACACCTATGTAGAAAATTAGTTTCAAAAATATGTGAAAATGAATTAGATCAGACAACGGAACCGAGTTTAATATAAATGATTATTTCAATTTTAAAGATATTATGCACCAAACATCTTGCATTGAAACTTCTAAGTAAAATACAATTGTTAAAAGAAAGTATCAACATATTCTCAATATAACTCATATATTACTTTTTCGGTCTAAACTCACTCAACAATTCTAGTGCCATGTTTTTCATGCCATATATTTGATTAACAAAACTCCTACAACTTTTCTTAATAATATCACATCTTGTGAAAAGTTATATAATAAACTTGTGATATTGTTGATATAATAACAAAGAAAACGAAGAGGAAAATGGTGGAGAAACATTAAAATAGAGAGAAAAAATAGTGAAGAGAAAAAAAAGAGAGGTTAAAACTGAAGCTAAAATCTTGCGTTAGCAACTAGATTGAAGTTTAGAAAAGGAGTACAAAAATAGGTTATTCATGATAATATTGTAATATTTATTGTGTCGCTTTAATTCATTGTATTGTTTTGATCAATGTTTTGATTCTTGTAATGTCTTGGTCCAACTTATTTGTAAAAATAATGCAATGTACAAATAGAGTAAGAGTAATATTCAAAATAATTAAGGAGAAAATTTGGAATTTGTGAAATGTTATGTTTTTAAAGTCTTGTTATAATATTTTCTATTGGGTATCGGTCTTAGGCTGTAAAACTAACTACTTTACTATCATTCCCTGTGTATAAGAATTGTTGTCTTGTAAATAGGGAGAAGAAAAATATTGGTTGTAATACTTTATCTCTCTTAATCCAATAACACTTGTGAATCCATTCTCTTTCTTGAAATATTCGTGTATCTTTGTACTTAGAACTACTTCCTCTCCCTCCTCTATTTTCCCTCTCTACGTTAACTTTTGCGATTATTACTGCTCTATACATTTATCCTTATCAAGTGGTATCAGCCTTCGTCGATTCTTGATGGCCAATGCAACTCGTAACGTTGTGGTTTTGAAAGAAATGGAAGAACGTTTGGTTGTACGACTTGATGCTCGATTGGTGGTACTTGCGAGATCCCTTGAACGCACGCTAACAAATTCTTTAAAAGAGGTTGTCCAAGAAATCGTCATGTAGTCTTCTCTTAATGAAAGCCAGTCGTCTAATGGAAGATCCACTCAACGTCACACATCTTACTTAGGAGGAATAAGACTCCCACGTATTGAATTTCCAAGATGTAATGGAGAAAATGTAGACCAATGGTTGTATCATTGTGAGAATTTTTTCTCCATTGAGAGGTGCAATTAGTCACTGTGCACCTAGAAGGACGTGCGACACTATGGAAAATGGCCATTGCTAAACACACCGACTATTATTTACTTTCTTGGAAAGGCTATAGTGCGATAATAAGGGAATGATTTGGTGATATCTGCCTTGATCCTATTGCAGGCTTTATGAAATTGCGTCAGACCTCTATTATTGAAGAATACTATAATGATTTCGATATCATTATCAACAAGCTGAATTTAATATAGGACTACACGGTAAGCTGTTTTTTGGGCGGGTTAAAAAAAGATATACAAATAATGGTAAGAATGTTTTAGCCCCACACAGTTCAAAGAGCTTTTTCATTGACTAGGCTATATGAAGATTCTTCTGCTAATGCAAACTGATCTTGGTCTTTTAACAAGAATAAATGGGTTTTGGGATCTAAACTCATCAATTTTGAAAAATTCAGTGTAGCTAAATATGCGGACAATAGTAAAATCTAGCCTCTACGTTCTGCAAAAACTCTCACGCCTATATTTATAAATGAACGTCGATCTAAAGGCATCTGCTACTTTTATGATGAGTTGTATACGCCCGAACACAGTTTGACCCACAAGAAACTCCAACTTCATGTTATTGAAGCCCAATTTTTTCTGATTAAGACATCAATGAGCATGAGCAACTAGTTGATCCACAAATTTCAGTGAGCGCGTTAATTAGAGTGACTAACTTTCACACTATGAGGATTACTAGGTATCTCAACAAACACCCTCTGCATATACTGTTATATAACGACAATACTCATAATTGTTTATATATTCAAGTGAAAAAGAAGTTAGGTTTTGTGATTGGAGATCAAGACCCTTTATCAATAACAATTTCATATGACAATAAAATCACTATTTCTTCCATGACGAAAAACTTTTCTTGGAGGATACAACAAACTACGTTTACATCTAATGTTTTTCTAATTTCCCTAGGCTGTTGTGACCTTGTGCTTAGAGTAGAATGATTGGTAACTTTAGGAGACAATACTTGGAATTTTCATAAACTAGCCATGGAATTTACAACCAATGGGATCAGACATGTTTTACGAGGGGCAATTACAAAAAAAAAAAAAAATTAAGATTGCAACAAAACAACAGTTGATAAGACCATAGAAGGAGGGGTTCATTTATCTATGTTGCAACTATGAACCAACACCATTGGGATCTTACAATCTTTGGCAGTTCATGTTGAGTCACTATCAATTCCAACACTCTTTTAACAAATGTTGATTGAATTTAAAGATATCTTTCACACCCCAATTGAGCTTTCACCTTTTCGCCCAAGTTTTGATCACACTATTCCACTAATCCAGGGCTCTAATCCCATTAACAAAAGGCCATACAGGTACACTAAATCCCAAAAGGATATCATAGATAAGTTGTTCAAAGATTATCTTTAAACTGGTATTATCCAACCTAATGACAACTCCTATGCTAGTCCTGTTGTGTTAGTGGGGAAAAAAATACCGTGCTTGGAGATTGTGTGTGGATTATAGGGATCTTAACAAGAATACGGTTAAGAATAAATTTCTCATACCTCTTATGGATGATTTATTGGATGAACTGCACGAC